CATTCATCTTATGTTGCTTACTGAGAGGTTTGGTGGTAAGAAAGTAGTAAGTATTTTCCAAAACAATTAATTAAGAGCCTGCCAGTAGAAAGTAAATTGTGTGCCTTGGGAAAATCTAGTGGGAGAAATTTGCCCTCATGAAGAAGAATAAGCTTTTCTTAATTCCATAGGGTCCTAGTCTGTTTGACCCCTTCAAACTTATATTCTAAGAGGCAAAGTTGAAGGTTAAATGTGTCCAGCAGGATGTTTCTTTTTCCTAAGAAATGCACTCTGTACTTATAACAGCTCCTTCAGTCTCTGGAACCCATTAACCAATTCTGAATCAAAGCCCTTTGTCAAGGTCACTGTCCTAAGGCAAGTTGAACCAAGGTTGCCTTTCTTCATGACCTTGTGCTCCAAGGCCAGATTTTTCAAATATTTTTATTCTCTTTATTTCACGCTACTTTTTCTTAACAAAACTCTGGACCAGATGAATGTGAATTAAACACAGGGCTCCTTTGTTTTATTTTAGGGCAAGGATTCCTTCCCAGCAGCCAGCTAGATGGAGAGAAATCTTTTACTATATGCTAAATAAAGGAAAAAATAAATTCTCATTTTGCTAATCTACATGCTTAATAATAAAAAAAAGAAGCAGCTGTTCCCGCCTTATTTCTTAGCCAAGATTTAGCAGCAGTGGTGGGAATTAAAAATTACTCATACTCAGCCCTAAAACTCTGTGATGCATTTTCTGGCAGAGAAAATAAGTTATATATACTTACATTTTGAAAAGTAGATTAGTGTGTCTTTGTCTCGATATTTGCCGTGGTTGCTTTTTTTAAAAAGTTGCTTCAAAGTCCACTTTCGTATAACCTGCATTATTTCTTAACCTTTTCTTTAGTGAGTACCATTTCCCTTCAATTCTATTACCTCCTGTTCCAGCACTCTTCAGGTTTTCTTTTCTACCAGAGCTTTCTTGCTTTTCTAGCTCTGCTTATGTTTCCTTATTACAGCGGAGTTTTTCTAGCTCTACTACTATGAAGAATACCATTAGCCTTAACCGCCAAGTCAGTCCATTTCATCCATCTTAACCCCTGCAATGCCCTATTTCACTTTTCTCCGTTATTTTCCATTGGTGACATCACCTTCTCCTTCATTCGAATTCCCGACCACCGGCCAGCAGTGCCTCAGCCCTCCTGCACTTTGCCTCTATTCACTCGTATTTTCTCCCGTGTTTACGCTTGCTGTCCCTGACCTCAGAGGAACAGGTGGTCCTCCAGCCCTTCCCGAGCTTGTCCACCCTGCCTGTGCTTCTGACTCATTTCGTTGGCATTCTTAATTATATTCCTTTCTCTTCAGTTTCTTTTAAACGCTCACAAAAGCTTACCTGACTTTTGTAGTAGATTTTCATGTTTTCATGGTTGCCTCTCCAGCATCTATTCCTCTTTTCCCAGAGGTGCAGGGTTATTATTTGGGGGTCCATGTGCTTTTAGGGAAGTGCCTCCATAGCCCTGATTTGGGGTGGAGCACTGGGGCCAATCAGAGCCTTCCCACTCCTGGACTCCTGGGGGTGGTGGTCATGTGACCAGCTCTGCTGGGTGCTGAGATCGGGCCCTGCTCTCCGGGCAGGTGCTGTGTGCGTACATGAGGCCTAGAGTTGCTACAGTCACTTTGCTGGTAGGAAGCCAGCCTGAGGATGATTCAGCACAGAGAGGGAGAGAGGAAGAGAGGGAGGAGAGAGAGGGAGAGAGAAAGAGAGAGAGAGAGAGAGAGCGCGAGCTCTGAAACAAACTACTCATTTTGGGAGCAAAGGAGTTTCCACTGATGTTTATTCCACTTTGAGATGGGTTTTCTGTTATTTGCAGTTAGGACTCCCAGCTGATTGTGGTAGTTGTTTTTTTTTTAATGTTATTTAATTTATTTATTTGATATTTGGAGGGGGGAGGTAATTAGGTTTATTTATTTATTTTTAGAAGCGGTACTGGGGATTGAACCCAGGACCTCATGCATGCTAAGCACGCTCGCTACCACTTGAGCAATACCCTCCCCTCCTTGATTGTGGTAGTTTAAAACTATGTCCTTTGCTACTCCTCCCTTCATCAGGTGGCATTTAAGTCCCCTTTCCTTGAGTGTGTGCTGGATTAGTGACGTCCTTCTAGAAAATAGATTCAAGTGTGTGATTCTAAGACAAGGTGAGAAAAGGCATTGATTTCCTCCTGTTGTCCCCTCCCCCACTCCTCCATCTATGTCTCTGTCTCTGTCTCTCTTTCTCTGTTGGGTGGATCACTTGCTCTGGGGAAGCCAGCTGCCATGTCAGGAGGACACTCAAGCAGCCTATGGAGGGCCCACATGGTGAGGGACAGAGGCCTCCAACCAACAGCCCCTGAGAAGTTGAAGCCTTTTCCCAACAAAAACATGAGTGAGCTTGGAAGGAGATTCTACAGTCCTGTCGGGCAGTGAAATGACTCCAGCCCTGGCTGAAACTTTGACTGCATCCTTATGAGACTCTCACTGTGGTCATCAGAGAGTCCCTCTGGCCAAACCAACTACCATTTTTCAGTGCCTACCCTACTTGACCTCTTGTTTTGGGGACAACGTTGAAGTTTCACACAAATGTTAACTTCTGTGTTAAGAAACCCTTTTGGAGAAATGGGAGTAAATTCTCAAAGCCATAACCAGTAGGAAACCTACTTCTTTCCCCCCTAAAACTGAAGTCTGAGGAACAAAGCATCCTAGAGAATGCATTAAATAGTTTTTTATTATCTCCCTTGTGATAAGGATCACCAGATACTTCCAGGAAAATAAAAAATATATATTCTAACTGTTACATAAATTTGTTTCTTGCTGCAGATTCTATACAAATAAATGTATATTTACCCACCAAATTTTAAGAAAAAATTTTAGAGTCTGCAATAGTGCTTATCAAAGAATTTTTATGTTTATCCCCCATTCTGAGAAAGACTAAGTAGAAAATGAGTCTAATTTGGGATTTAAGAATTAGCATTTGGGTGTGTATTTCATTTCAAATGTAGTTAAATAAGATTTCCACGAGTGTTTTGATCACTGAACTTCAAAGGAAAACTTCATAAAAATTTCCAGTAAAATATTGTGTATATGTATGTAAGTGATGCTTCTCTAAGAAATGATGTAAGGAAGGTTAACAGGATTTTGGAAACAATGCACAATGCTGTAATTGACAGGCACGTAATTACTTATGGCGTATGCCTGCCAGGATTTTTGTGTAATCCTCCCATATGGGATTAAATGTCATTTGTAAAATGAACCTTTTCTTGTAAAAGAAAATAAGAGCCGTCATGTTCCTGCAGCTCTCACCTCATAAGGAAAGTGTTGAGCTATCAAAAAAAAAGGTTAATACCTAAAACAAAAATAGCTCCTATAAGTTCTCTATATATGTGTTTATAAGGAGAGCTGACCTAGATTTTACTGTAAACATTATTGACTTACACTGTTCCAAAAAGATTGTGGGAATACCTAATTCCCATTCCTAATTCTTAAATAATGGCGTATGTGGAAAGACCCAAGCTTTTGATTTATTTGTCCCTGTGTTCACTTCAGCAGAAGACTTGGAGGGCTGCAGCAGAAGCCGACGCCATGACCTGCTGACGGCTGGGTGTGAGCTCAAATATGTATGTTTACATGGACTTGCAGAGCCGTCTGAATCCTCTGTGGAACGGCAGTGGGTTACCCTGGAGTGATCTTATTCTTCTGTCCATATTCAGCTGTAAAATCATAAATGGGAAAGAGCCAATGGACACACTGTTGTCTGTTCTTCAAGCCAGCAGTCTATATTGCAACCCAATGACAGTAACGCTTTATTGTCCCTTGCGTGCCAAACATTATAGAAATATTTCTTCTGGTCCAAACAACAGCCTTGTAAGGGCATTATCTTCCTTTCCATTTTACAGTTAGGTCAAGTGAGAGACTGACTAACTTGTCCCACAGCCATATAGCTAGTAAACTGCAGAGCTGGGATTCAAATCCAGTCTGGATCCAAAGCTCACACTCTTTCCTTACCAAATGGGGCCTTTCAACAATGATTCCTTCGTGTCATATGAGAAGACCGAAAAAAAAAAAAGTACCTTTGTTTGACGGCACTAAAGACTGCTAGCTCCTTGGCAGCAAGTCTCCATTCAAACAAACCAGATAGAAACCTCTGCATTGAGGAGATGCTCCCCCACCGCCAGCGCTGACTGGAGTGAAGGCTACAGTGCTTAGAAGCGGCGCCCTGAATCAGCCAGCTGGGCCTCATCCAGGGGAGCAGGTCTGGGGCTGGGTCTGCGCTGGGGGCTGAGGGCTGGCGTAGAAATGGAGATGGATGTGAAAAGGAAGCAACACATTAAAAAGGCATCATGCTCTGACTGTCCTTTTTGGGCTCAAGCCCACCAGATGATAGATAAGTACGTCTTGCAACATAAAATGCCAAAGTTTAATTTGGAGCACAGCCATGTGTGTCCCATCTCACTGGGACACAAGGATGGAAGAAATTCTCTCTACAGAGAGGACACAGGGGGACTTGCATGCGGTCCTGCCTCCACTGCTGTCCATTTGAGTGTGGTTTTCTCAAGTCTAGCTGATTGCTGTGGTCCCACTTAGCTCTAAAACTCTACGATTCTACTGGTAGCCATTAATATGGCGTTTTTTGACTTGTATTTTTGCACATGGAAAGGTGTTCCCATGTATTCATTAGGGGTCTTCGTTGCAGACAACAGACTTTCTGAGAGGAAGCAGGGGGGCAAATGGTGCTACAGCGTCAGGATCGATTGCCGACCCCAGGTGCTGCATTTTTTAAGGAGACCCCAGCACTGCCCCTGCCTGCCTCTCAACAGTTATTATTCTGGAGCTTGAGGGGAGACTTTCTACCTTAGCTCCCAGAAGATCTGCCGTCCCTGACCTTGGCCATCACTTCAGGTACTCACTTGCCTTCCCCATCTGCCTCAAGGAATGGATCTCCCATCAGGGCTTGGTGGAAACTCAGTTATATGTGGAGGCCAAGCTGCAAGGGAGTCGTGGAATTGTTTAGCTTTCCAGCTTCTGGAGGATGGGAGGCTGTGTGAGAAGAGTGACTGGGTGTTGAGTGATCCCACGTGTGGCATCTGCCACAGCGTATGACATTGGCTGAGTGCAGAAAGAGGGGGAAAATAAACACGTGCACACCATGAGCCCTGTAAATATGTATGTTAAAAATCCTATGCAAAAAAGTCTGAAAGGGATACACTAAAATTTTAGTAGTATTTTGCTTTGATCAAAAGTATTACTGTGTTTTTTCTTCTTTTATTTCTCTGTATTGGCCGATATTTCTATGAATGAGTAGTATTTGTATTATTTCTTAAAAGAATGATGCCAATTGTTTATGTTCCTCAGATTTTACACAGCATAGAGATGGTGCCCTTGCCTTTTTGTGGCTTGTAGATATCTGTCTTCAAGATACTGGCCGCAGAATTAGA